AAGAACTATTATCATCTGTAAAAAAAGTTTTATTATTAGGACTAGAATAACAGGAAACTAGTTTCACTTAGATTGGAAAATTCGAAGCAAAAACTCAATATTTAGACTTTGTGCATCAACATTTCTTTATATTACGTAAAAGTGAAACCATTTATTCAATTAAAAGACGTTACTAAATGAAATTGATACAATATGATATCTATACAGACGAGATAGATATGTAAATCGGTATGTTTGTCCTTTGATTGAAAACGAAATAAAGACAATTTCCTTCTTTCTCCCCCCCCCCAGTGGCATAACGGTAAGTGTGTGGACTTATAATACTAGAAATCTGGTTTCAATACCCTTGGTGGGCACAGCACAGATGGCCCATTATGTAGCTTTGTGCTTAACTACAACCGATTCTCGTTTATCAGTTGGTAAAAAAATCTATATATATAATAGATATCATGTGTCAAGGGGTAATAAAATCAATATGTGCTTAGTTGGTAATAAAATATAGTTGAACAAAAGAAGAATGTTATTTCCAATATAAGATACGGAAAGCTTCTACAACGTCCGAGGAAAATAAAAACACAAAGCAGGCATTAGCTCATTACGGCCTAGATTATCGTGCTCTGTCTAAAATACTTTCTTCTAACTCTGACGATGGTCTATTGATTTTCCACAAATAGTTTTGTACATGAAAACAAGACATATACATGCGTATTTACATTTCCAATAATGTTCTTAGTAATATGGGACGTACAAGTTGGATTACAGAGAATTTGGATTTAGTATGCAGATGAATCAATATTATCATACAAATAATGATTGAAAGCTTTACAAAAGCGTATATATAAACAATGTTTTGCTTTTTATTAGTCGTGAAATAACGTTTAGAGTTCTGTGAGGAAAACTAATGAAGGAGCACGAACTGTCGTTTAAAGGTTAAACGATGATAGGAAAATTCCTTATAAAACAACGTCGTCTCAAGGTCAAACAAGAACAGGAAAAGTCCTTATAAAACAACGCCATTTTAAGGCCAAACAAGGACAACAAAAGTCAAACAAGACAGACAAGCACTTAAAATAATTCAGTTTGAATATACTGATTCACAAATGGACTTAGTTCTGAAGAAAATATTAGCATTCACTGCTGACTGAGACAGATAGGACTAAGTTTTCACAGTGGCATACTTGTCAGTTTCTCTATGGACAAATGATATCGGGAAAATAAATTGCAACTAAATTGCTCTAATTGTGAAAGATGTATTGGAGCATGTTAAATTATGATACTGTCATCATATAAAAGACTTTTGTTCAGATATCATTGATTATTTTAGTTTTTGTTATAATAAAAGCAGATGATTGTAGGAAGTTGAGAATATCGAATGTAACGTGCAATATACTGACGTCGAGAATATAGAAGGCGGACAGACGATTATGTAATAAAGATATAAATAGCGTGAAATGAGCGGGAAGCAGCAGACAGAGAGTAGCAGACAGAGCAAAAGAGAATAAAGTTGGTGTGAAGTTAACTACCGTAGAAGCGATAGGCCTTACGATTGACATAAGCCTAACGTTTAATATGTTGGAGTGAAACTAATAGTATAAAAGAATATAAGAAAAATTATTTTATTCCGTCAAAGCGTGGTTCTAAGGTAATTGAATCAGCCTGAGTGCACTTTGACATAAGGAACAGAGGATCATCAAAAGACCAAACGATTACGGTAACTCGCACCACAATTGAAGCGAATTACAGAGAATACTAGTGCGTTAGAAATAGAGAAGATAGATCGGCTTGTCAATTGAAATTCTAAAGTAAGTGAATAGGCCTAAGTGGATATTTGACAAGAAGGAGAGAACTACATATATAGTATTTATGATATGTTCATAATATCCATAATGTTGAAGAATTTATTGTACACACGTTAACTTGTTCTGAATATATATATTATTTTGAAAACAAGTGAAGTGCATGCTGTTTATTCATCGTTGAATTTATCGCTAACAAGTCACAGACACCTACTGTAGAAGAACCCTAAGCCGAACAACAACATAGTATATATTTATACCATTAAGAAATATAAGTAAAAGCCTTTTATTTGACAATTGGTGAAAAAGAAAGTTATATGTATGTATGTATATATATATATATATTATTTTGAATTCTGACAGATCCTATAATACAAAAACCAGTCAGTTTCTGCCTAGATAGATATATTTACAATGACAAAACTTTACAAGTAATATTTGGGCAAATAAAACTTATTTTTCTACACAGTATAAGCAGTCTGAAGCATTTTGTGATTCAAAACACTATTAATAACAATTCCTTGTTATAGTTGCATATGTAGACAATGTCTTTAGAATAATAGTTCTCTATAACATATATTTCGAATTTTTTGACGTTTAACTACGTAAAAAATCAAAAGAAATGCACAAGTACCAAATATTTATGCTTAGTTTCCGGAAGTTGTCGCAAGATTTCGTTGTGCAACGTCTAATCCAGATTGGTGAAAATATAAAGGAGTGACAGGCCAAAAACCCTAAATCTACAAAATATGTTTACCTTTGACCATTGTAGATTCAAAGGAAAGAAGATAAAATCCCAAATATGTCTGCTTTAGTCTGTGAAGGTTGTTGCAAGGTATATTTGCGCCAAGTGTCGTTTGGATTGATGGAAAAATACAGAAATGGCAGCCGAAAATATGATCTTAAATGTTTCACCTTTGACCTCGTAAAATCAGAACGAGAGTTTAAATCTAAAACTGAAATACCAATCTGGGCGTGTTAAATTAAGATACATGCCCTTTAAGTTTCGAGATGCTCATCTCAGAAATAAAGGAGTGTCGCACAGTTGTAAATGTTGGAGAGAAAACAAAGAAACATGCGGAATATAATATACATCCTTTTTGGGGAGACATAATTCAGATTATAATTTCATGAAGACAAAATATAAAAACTGCTTCACGTTCACCGTATCTTTTGAACCTTTTGGATAATGTTTAGAGGTTAATCATTTTGAAAAGTTTGATTAAAGTTCGTAAGAATGTCTTAGATCATTACATACACACGGGAAGACAATTAGAAAATACAGAAATAAATATCGAAAGACAAAAGGATTAATAAGTTTACAGCTAGAGAATCATAATTACGTTACCGTTTTGTTATTTACAATTTTGAGGTTAATTGTTCATCAGTTAGAGAAAAATAACGAACATAACTTTGTGGTTGAACACAGCACGAGCTGTGCTTAAATTATCGATCTTTACAAACAACTGTTTAACTTTTGCAACTCCACCATAATGAGTGATTTAATTTCTTCAGATAATAACTGTATAATTGTTCTTGTGAGCTAACAGGGAGAATACAGTAATGTGTTTTCTCAGCGCAATATTCAGAGGATAACGACCAAATTCAGAGAATGATGAGAGTTGATAGAGTTGTATTTGTTTGTCTTCATTAAGTATCGTACAGCATTAATCGAAATGTTTATTAACTGATAACTGCAAAATATTAAACATTCTTGAAGTGTTATATTGCTTTATTTATGAATCCATTGTAATATTTTATACAATGACGTCAGGATCGCCGTTATGGTATTAACAGATACTGAGGTGAGTAATTGACATACTGATAACTAGTTGGGGACAGGAAGCGGTAGTAGACTTTCGGAATTTGTGGGTTTAATTACCCGATTTTATGCTTTTCTCCCCTTTGATCTATTTTTTTTTTCATTGATTAAATATACTATTATGGTTTATCTGATATATACATAATAAATATACTAAAATAAATAAATCATTACATAGTCCTTCGTAATTTTTATTTGTCGGTTTCGTAACTTTCTGGTTTCTCTCGAGAATAAATTGTTTAATGAAATTAAAACATATAAATATATATGCATAATCAAAATGTTTCTTCAATTTACAATATAATTTTGAGTTAATGTCAAGAAAATATACCCAACTTAACATGTTATAATAAAAGTTATAAAAAGGGAAAGTGAAGTATTAACTTCTGTAGCTTTTTTTGTGAAATACCTATTAACATCGGTTTGCTAAAGTTCATACTAAAATTAATAGAATCGGTACTAGAGCTACTAACATTAAATCTAAGCATGATAACTTAGTTCGCTCAATGTCTAACTGATTTGAACTCTTGTTAATTTAAAAAAAATAGTTTGGTTAATACATTAAATACCAAGACTTATTGTTTTATTATCTCATTATATATATAAACTATTGCTATACTTATTAAGAGTAAAAAAACACAAAAATATATTAGCACAATTTGCCTGAAAAGAAATTATGGTATACTTATTATTGAGTATAATGCTCTGTGAGGTGGTCTTTAGAGCCTTTTTGTCAACTTTCGGAATTAGTTAATACACAATCACAGAAAGCACTACCGTCGTGATAAAGAAGTGAAAGCACGTTTCGCTTTAGACTGGTTTCCTCACGTGTTTCGGAGATGTCTCTAAAAAAACGTAGTTTCCAGAGAACAGCAGCTCACATCGCCTGTTTCGAAGTGAAAATCCCAATTGTAAGATATGTGCATACCAAACAGAAAATCTCGCACTTTGACTGTAACTGTATTCTTAACACAAAAATGCCATATTCAAAGGTTGAAGAGAAATATAATATTTTACTGATGCTCCAGTCGCTGTACTGTACTTCTGGAGAAGCTTGGTTCTTGGCATGAGGAACAGAAGTTAGAAGATAAATTAAAGTAGTGCCTTGCTTTAAACACATACCTTGTTTATAACAGAAGTTAAAACATTTGAAATTTTATAGTATCTGTATCTCATTAATTAAAGTAATCAGATATTTCAAATGTTCTAGGACTTGTACGTATTTTTGGTTTATAAACTTTATTAAAACTTTTTAGGCACGAATATATTGTAAATGTCTTTATTAAACCTAATTAAAATAAACTAACTTAGGTTTATATATATGCAAGTATATGAACTTGGGCACATTCAAGTGAATCACATTCTTTCTTTATGAATTACAGTTATGCTTAGGCCGTATGATGTCCAAGTATTTGACCAACATATTATGTATGGAAATGTGGCCATTTTCACTTGTCACGTCCCTTCCTTTGTATCAGACTATGTAAGGGTGACTTCGTGGATTCCGAACAACGGACAACAAGTGACAACATTATTTACACATGGTGAGTTGAACGTCATTTTAGCTTAAGTTTAATAACTTATTACTCACTACACTACTTGCATATGGTGAGTTGAACGTCATTTTAGCTTAAGTTTAATAACTTATTACTCACTACACTACTTGCATATGGTGAGTTGAACGTCATTTTAGCTTAAGTTTAATAACTTATTACTCACTACACTACTTGCATATGGTGAGTTGAACGTCATCTTAATTTTTCAAGCACACACCTACGGATCTCAGTTTTTCTTTATAGTTCACAATTTTCACATTCTAAGTAATATCATTTTGGTGATAAATTCAAGTTAATATAACTTTTTATTTGTAAATATTTCAAAACATGTTGATAAATCTACTTTTACACTTAGATGCTAGAATTCTTTCAACTTTCAATAATACTGCGTATTATTGATTTAAAAATTGCACATTAAAACGTTTTATTTCACCCGTTTCTCCCCTTTCCTAAGCGTGTGTGGACTTTCAGATGGATTGCTCTTCTCGTTGTGGTGTTTGTAGTTAAACAGGAAGAGGTTTTGTCTTACATCGTACTATAGTAAGAGGAAAAGTATGAACATGAAAGTAAGATACTTTACACTGGTTAAACGACAAATAATCTAAATATACATAGTATTGAACATGAATGTAAGAGGAAAAGTATGAACATGAAAGTAAGATACTTTACACTGGTTAAACGACAAATAATCTAAATATACATAGTATGGAACATGAATGTAAGAGGAAAAGTATGAACATGAAAGTAAGATACTTTACACTGGTTAAACGACAAATAATCTAAATATACATAGTGTGGAACATGAATGTAAGAGGGAAAAGTATGAACATGAAACTAAGATACTTTACACTGGTTAAACGACAAATAATCTAAATATACATAGTATGGAACATGATTTTTCGAATTAAAACAGCAAGGTTTTATAACTTTAAGTTTTATAACGAACACGCTTATTTAATTAGATATTTTTTAAAAGTCAGTTGTATTATAAACCATTGATACAGCGCAAATTCAAAATTACGCGATTGTAAACTTTCTGGAGCTATTTTATTCACAAAGCATTTCTTTTTTAGAAGGAAATTACGTAGTTTTACCGTCAGGTGGCTTGATGATTAGCAACACTACTGTAGATGATTCAGAAACATCGCTCCGATGTCAACTTTACGACCGTATTGCAACAGAGTCTAAACAGAGTACAAAAGCCGGAAAGTTAATTGTAACAGGTTTGTAAGAATTAGTATATTTAAACACTGCAAAGGACGCTTTGATCTTAACAATCAAATTAAACTTTAAGATTCATTTTAAGTTTTATTGGAAATATTTTATATACTACACACAATTTTTATTTTACTTCATTTCCTGGTGGTGAATACTATTGAAACTAAATAACTGTTGGAAGGTATTAGTTGTAATAATACGTTAACACCGAATTGTATATTTGAACATTATCATGATATTTGTTTAATTTAACAAAGGAACAATCTCACACAGTATTTTACACAAAAAAGTAATTTATTTGCCTCTCCCCATTTACACAATGGATGTTGTTGTTGTTGTTGTTGTGTTATTAAGTACAAAGCTACACAAAGGACTACACGGATGGAACAACGTTATTTCTCAATCCACAAAATGTACACTGAAAAATACTCTAGGATAAACTTATTTACAACAGATTTGAATTCAATGGGCATTATACTGTAAGATTCTCTCTCCAGATTCTCGTGGACGTTTTCCATATACTGATAATATCGGTAAAGAGATAATTAATATTTATAATAAATTTAGATGCTGTCTCAGTTGCTCAAAAAAGAGCATTAGCTTTAGGATTAAACTTTGGACTTGTCGCAAAGACACTACACTTTGAAAATTATTTGTTATCCTTAAAAGTTATGTTAAGATGTTTAAATAACTTCCAGTTATTTCCTTATATTGAAGAGCACTTTGATACAGTTAAAACCTGTGGTAGTAGCTTAGCTTTGTCGTATTTTTAGAATTATAATTCTGGAAAGAAATTTTACAATGAATCTCAAAAAAGAGCATCAAGCTTTTATTAGACTTGGAAAACCTACTGATATAGTTATAATAAAACCAGGTAAAGGAAATAGGATGGTCTTCCTGAATAAAAAAGATTAATTAATAAAGTCACCGATGTGTTAAAAATAGAACAAAATTCCAGAAGTTGAACAGAGATCCAACATTTACGAGAGAAACATAATTGTAAAAGTAATTATTGTAGCAAAAGAAAGGCAACATTAAAGCTGAGAATGGGAATAAGGAAATTAGACCAGTTTACTCTGATGATAAAATATTGTATGGACTTCAGCAAATCCCAAACACTCTGTAAGACCAATAGTTTCACATACAGGTTCTTATTATTGTGAGCAGTTCGATGTTTTTGTTAACTTTTTTGCGAATACACGGACGATGAATTCACCGTTAAAGATAGTTTTGAATTTTCAATTTCAGTACAGAATTTTAAGTTTAAGCAAAATTCGTATATGGCCAGCTAAGATGTGGAATGTCGGTATACCGACATTTCACTACAAGAGACCATTGGTTTATACTCAGAATTAGTGTTTTCTCCGTCAGATACAATAAAAAGTCTTTCTAAATATTTATTTTCAAAATTAATGTTTTTGCAACATAAGACTCGCATTTCATGTTTAATACAACAAATTAGGACCAGAATGATAGTATTAGTATGGGATCTAAACTTGCACCTGCTTTGCTTAATTTGTTTTTGATTCTTTTTGAAATGTAAGGATTAGAATAATATCCTATAGAATTTACGCAACTTTATTATAGAATGTATATTCATGACATATTTACTGCTTATCATAGAATGTATATTCATGACATATTTACTGCTTATCATAGAATGTATATTCATGACCTATTTACTGTTTATTATAGAATGT